CTGCCTCGTTTACTGGCAGACATTTAAGACAGTTAGATCTTTTCCTCTTGTAACCCTTCTGAATTTTCTCATTGGGGTATTACAGCAGACAGGAAAACAAGATGGACTAGGACTCAGGGTCTCCTGCCTTCCAGCCCTGTGCTCAGGTGTCTCGAAGACAAATGCGCTCTATTCAATGCTCTGGTCAATATAAACCTTGACGAAGTCAATATCTTCAGAAGCATTTAACTCTCCTTGGTACTTTGGGATATGATTTGCTATTCACAGTTAGTGTCATACATTCTTGTGCACTAGAAACTGCCAACAATTAAAGAGATCAGTTCCATTCCAAGAGGAATGCAGCACGTTACCATTCTCCACTTGTGAAGTCCCTCTGCATTCTGGTACCAGTTGATTTGAAGGCAGATGGGGTTCCCCACCATTTTGGTAAAATTTGGTGTCGCCGATGCCACTGTATAGAAGAATTCTCTCCACAGAAGCTGTCCTTGTAGTGATACAGGTGGCAGAGAATGGTTCTTGGACTGTAACAGAGACACAGGCCCATCGACTTCAGCTGACCCACAATTTACACCAGCATCAAACCAGAGTGAGCTGAAAACCCATAAAACTCAATATTCCAGGATCCTCTGGGATAATTTTCTGCAACCCTCTGACCTTCCAAGATAGATTCATACTGAGAATTCCTCCCGCAGAAAAAATAAAAACCGAAGATCCTTTAAACCAGACACACAGTTGTTGGTAAGTATCAATATCAATAGTTGCTCAGCTTCATGCACTAAAAAAGTTTAAAATTCATTCATTAAAAAAATTAATGATAACCCGTGTTTTGTGTTAATGAAACACTGTGGTTTCTTTCCTGCATATGAATTTATGTGCCCATGCAGACTGTGAAAAGTCTCCCCAAAGGGTGATGTTTTCCATCATTGTTCTCAACGGCAATTTCTTCTGAAGCGCTGTGGAAATTCTGTACATCTGGTTTTGAGTTATGAAAAAATGAGTATTTTGGAAAATACAGGATTTAAGATCTGCAAAGGATGATTTGATGTTGCTTAGCTTGGCTTGCAGCCAAAATACCCATAGGTCTTGTTGCCTGGAAACCCTACTTAACTCTGGAACAACACCTTTAGCTCAATTTTAGTTGGTTGAGTTACAGCCTAGACTTCTCCTCCTTCCCCCAACTCAGTCCCTTTAGCCTACACCAAAGGACAAATGATTTGTCTTGGCTACAATTTTAGCAAGTGTTAATTAGATGGAGCTAGGTAACAAGAGCTGACATCAAACAAAAGTGGCAAACGTTCAGAGGAGGGCACAAGTGTTAATTAGATGGAGCTAGGTAACAAGAGCTGACATCACACAAAAGTGGCAAACGTTCAGAGGAGGGCAACGAGGGCGGGGGGCTGGACTCGATGACCTCTCGAGGTCCCTTCCAGTCCTATTATTCTGTGATTCTATGAAAATGATTAGGGGTTTGGAACTGGTCCCATACAAAGAGAGATTACAAAGACTTGGACTTTTCGCCTTAGAAAAGAGGAGACTAAGGGGGTATATGACAGAGGTCTATAAAATCATGCCTGGTATGGAAAAAGTGAATAAGGAAAAGTTATTTACTTATTCCCTTAACATAAGAACTAGAGGTCACCAAATGAAATTAATAGGTAGCAGGTTAAAACAAACAAAACAAAGTTTTATTTCAAGCAATGCAAAGTCAACCTGTGGAACTCCTTGCCAAAGGATGTTGTGAATATTAGGACTTTAACGGGGCTCAAAAAAAAGCTATATAAATTAATGGAGGTTAGGTCCATCAACGGCTATTAACCAGGATGGGTAGGAATGGTGTCCCTAGCCTCTGTTTGTCTGGAAATGGATGACAGGAGAGGGATCACATGAGGATTACCTGTTGTGTTCACTCCCTCTGGGGCATCTGGCATTGGCCACTGTTGGCAGACAGGATACTGGGCTAGATGGACCATGGGTCTGACCATTCTTATGGCCATTCTTATGTTCACGCCTTGAAATCCAAGTCCACACAAAGGTAATATTTCAAACAATATATCAAACCACTTTGCACCACTCATACAACTGTCGCCAAGAAGGAGGCTAGCTCTAATTTAGGAAAACTGTTAGATAACCACTCTGTCTGCATAATTTCCACACAATATTTTCTTTCTTACCTGTGCATAAATGTTTGATAATCTATAAAAAAAACTTCGAACTGACAAGCAGCCCAAGCTGAAATAGGGACTCAGTCCTGTAGTACTTGGAAGCAGAGAATTCGGAATTGTTTTTGGTTTAGTAAAACTGGCGACCCAGCCCTAAAAAGAAAAAGCAGCAGCAATTTTAGGCAGAACACCACAGGGTATGTCCTGTGAATGAAACAGAAAAGAACTGCGAGCAAGAGGGTTCCCCACTACATTTCCAAACACAGGCCACACAAGTTGGGGTAGGTCAAGAAATTTCACCTCTTCTTGGAGCTGGGCATTATTCATGAAGCCCCCCCAATTCAAATAAAATACAGAATGGAAGCCAAATCTTTTCCTCCATCTTGGGTAAACAGGGTTTGTCCCCTGTACTAGGGAATCAGCCAATATCACTTTCCAGCAGGCTCATCACCTGCCAAGAATCCAGGTGATACCCATGAGACAATCCTAGCCAACCAACATAGAGGGTTGCTTGTCTTGGTGCTAGTAGGTGGCCTATGAGGTCTCTGTTTGCTGTGTGGCTATAGCATACGAGAGAGACAAGGTGACTCAGACAATATTTTTTATTGGACCAACTTATGCGGGTGAAAGAGACAAGCTTTCATGCTGCATAGAGCTCTGGTCAGGTCTGGAAAGGCAATCCAAGCATCCCAGCTAAGAACAGGGTGGGACAGATTGTTTTGCATAAAGGACTTAACATTCAAGAGGAAGAAAGAAATTAACACATCTGCTGGCATAGGACAAAAGAGGCTATGGACTGTTGGAATGAGCCATGAAAGCAGTGTCTTTACCGAGTCCAGGATGTTTATGGTCTAGCAAATGTAGGAGTTTAAGCTTCAAGCTCTGCTTTATAAATTAAGGCTGCTCTGTGCACTGCAATGCAAGAGCAACAACAAAACCTGAGATAGCATGGCCACTGTCAAATCAAGCATCAAAGGCAAAGGAAGCCCCATGTGGAATACTTAGTTCTCCAACTATATCAACCTTCTGTGTGAGGCCAGTGACCAGGCTACTTTTAATCTATGGGCCCCCAAAACTCAAGTTCCCCCCAAAAGCTGACAGAAGTATTATTGTCAGAGGAGAATTCTCAATTTATAATAGGGTCCACTTGAGTGTGACTGCACCAAACTACTGATCTTTTCCCGTAACCTGGTAGATGGATTCTGAGATGCCAGGAGGACTTGAGTTGTTTGTTTGGAGTTGGGATGAAGCAAGTCTGCAGATGAGACCCGTGAGGGGGGAATTTGAGAGCAGCCTTCAACTCCCTGAAGTGGGGTTCCAAAGAGGCTGGAGAGAGGCTGTTCTCAGTGGTGACAGATGCAGAACAAGGAGCAATGGGCTCAAGCCGCAATGGGGGAGGTCTAGGTTGGATATTAGGAAAAACTATTTCCCTAGAAGGGTGGTGAAGCACTGGGCTGGGTTCCCTAGGGAGGGGGTGGAATCTCCATCCCTAGAGGTTAAGTCCTGGCTGGACAAAGCCCTGGCTGGGTTGATTGAGTTGGGGTTGGTCCTGCTTTGGGCAGGGGGCTGGTCTCAATGACTCCCGAGGTCTCTGCCAACTCTAGGTTCTATGATTTGAAAGTGATGAGCGATCCTTTCTGACCAGCCTCCCTGCCTGATGGGATCAGACACAGCCATCTGCAGCCGGGCTAAGGGCATAATAACCTATAGCAGGCATCCAGAACAAGAGACAAAGGAATGGGTACATCGACAGGGAGACTCACCTGATTTTTCAAGTGTTGTTCCAATCGCTGCAGCCCTTCACTTTCCCCTCCTCTCCAGGGGGACTGGCTCTGTTGGGGGATACCCAAATCCTCAGGGCGAGGCACCTGGTAACCCTCAACCAGGCCAAGCGCAGAAGGAGGCTTACATCTCCTAATTGAAAAGAGAGGCCTCTTTCAAAGAGAGAACGTGACGAAGGGGCAGGAGAAAGCTCCTCTGTCTCCTCTTTAATCATGGTACAGCCAGGGCAAAGCAAGCGGGGTAACCCAGTCTGCAGCCTCCTTGAAAAACCACTATGGGGCGCTGTGAGCTAGAGACACAGTGAGCTGGTCCCGCAGCCACTAAGGGAGACAGCAGCAGCATGGTGAAAACTCGGGGCCGTGCCTCCCTCAGTGCCCAGGACTGCACCTGTGAGCAGATGCCTGCATGCAGGAGATAAGGAGCCCCGCTGCGGTCTGACACTCGGCAGTGTCAGAGTGCTGTGGACCAGGGAATGCCCGGGTGAGCGACAGGGGACGTGCTCTCCCCACCCTGGAGCGCTGGCAAGGGTGGGGACACGCACAGAGCACTGCCGCTGGGACAGGAGTGCAGAGAGCTCAGTAGGGTGCAGAGGGAGATGGGAGAGCAGCGCTCCTGTCTGGGTCCAGCAATGGGCCTTGCTGAGCACCCTGCAGCATAGTTCTTGCACAGCACGCCGGCTCACTCCCAGTGTTTGGGGCAGGGCAGGCCAAGGTGCTTTCCGCCTGGCCGCTCCTCCCCACTGTCTCCTCCTAGTCAGGGGCAGGAAGGGAAAGCCTCCCCCTTCCAGCCTTGGGCTTGTAGCATTTTAGGGCAGTTTCCAAGCCCTCTGTTCCTGACCAACCCATTTCTCCCACCTCTGGGGATGGGCCGTCCTAGGCTGTGATCAGTTTGATCAGGGGTAGGAAGCAAAGTTGCTCCTTTCACTTGGCCTCCCCATCTGTCCCTTGCTAATCCAGGAGGAGGTTCCCTTCTGCCCCTGCCCTTCAGGCTGCTTCTGGTCTCCCAGGGCTGTGGCCCTTGGAGCAATCCCACGTTTCTGCTCTGAGGACTGGCCCCAGTACTTCACATGTAAAAATCTGTCTGAGTATGTCTAGCTTCAACTTCCAGCCATTGATTCATGTCATGCCTCTGCTGGCTAGATTAAAGAGCGTTCTGCTATTAGAGATCATCTCCTGATGGAGGTGTTTCTGGATCATAGGATCAACTCATCAACTTCTCTTGGATGAACTAAATAGATCGTGCTTTGTGAATGTCTCACTGTAATGCAGGTTTTTCCAAACCTCAAATGACTTTTATAGTTTGTCTCTGTGCCCCTTCCATTTTTTTAACCTATTTTTTTAAAGTGTGAAAACCAGAACTGGTGACAGTACCCCAATAATGATCTCGCTAATGTCACATACAGAGGTAGTGTCACTTCCCTACTCGTACATGATATTCTCCTGCTTATACATCCACGTATCGATACAGAGGTAGTGTCACTTCCCTACTCGTACATGATATTTTCCGCTTATACATCCAAGTATCACTGTCTTTTGGTTCTGAGTTTGCCCAGTGTCTAGCAAAATGAGTACCTGGCTCATAACTGGGGCTCCTAGTTGCTATGTAACAACAACGATAATAATGTTGTTATAATTTTAGCACTCTTAGCCATAGCTGCACATTCTTTATACATACACGCCATTATTTAATTACATTAAAATAATGCAATATATCATCTGATAGTGCCATTTATACTGGCCAAATCCTTCCCTCAGGATGGCAAGAAAGAGCTCTGTACAGGGCTATCTATTTTCTCTGCAAAAAAATTACTTACTGGAAATCCTCAGCTGTCAGGTTCCGTACAGGCGCGTTAGGGTCCCCAAGCACAGAGAGAATATGAAGAAATCTTTTGTATGTCAAGGGAGGAGTTCCACCATTCTTGTCCAAAATCCTGAACAAGACAGGACACTTTGTAGTATGAATATAAACCAAGTAGAAAATGGAAGCGGTGCGGGTCCATCATGCAGCCAGAGCTGATGAATAAACAGGCTACCATACGGAGATGGACTATTCCTGTTATGAGGTTACAGGTACAGAGGTCACAGTCCAATGCAGTCATGCAAAGCCCCACTGACTTCAATGGAATTCTCGTCAAGTGTCCGGGGACATTTGTCCTGATCCACTGGCAGGGTCAGTACTTTTGTGGGGAATGTGCTATTGCCTTTTACATTTTATTAAACAGAATATGACTAGAATTGGAAAGAGACTGTTGTTATGAATGTCAATGGATTAGACCCAGGCTGGTTTCAAACATATATTTCTAAATGCACTCAAAAATTTTTGCATTAGCCAAAAATGCAAAACAAAAGGAATTCTCCTGGCCACAGATGACATCTGCAAGAACCAACAACCTTTCTGTGGGATGTGGTGTTTAGAGGAGTGGAGCAGAAATTAGCCTCACTATGGAAGACAGTGATAACTCAGGGCCTGAGTCATGCAATTTGCTTTGCAGGGGTAGAGCCTAGCACACCCAGATGGAGGGGTGGAGACTAAAATTGGCCTCTGTGCTGGCACAGAGAATCCTCCCCATGGGGAACAAGCAGGGCAGGCCTTACCATAAGGCGAACTGAGGCGGCTGCCTCAGGTGCCAGACTGGGGCAGGGGAAGGGGGCGGAGGGAAGGAGGGCGCCACTAGGGCCCAGGGTATAGAAAATTGTGTCTGTTGCTGATGCATAGGTATGTAACAGAGCAGTGCCATGAGAGGAGTAGAAGAGGAAGAAGGCAGAATTGGGACCCTTCAAAGTTTTGGCCCAAGCGAGAGGATGTGGGGGCATCATTTGAGCTCCCTGCCTCAGGTGCCAAAATGTTATGGGCCAGCCCCGGGAACAAGATATAGTTTCAGAAGTAAAAAAAGACTTTCATCTCTCCCCAGCAATCACAAGCAATCCTAGATATAACCAACCCTCCAGCCAAAAAACCATCCAATTTCCCTGTCTAGTAACAATCATCAAAATATGCAGCCAGGGCAAGTTAAAACATTGAAGGTGCCCTCTTTTGTTGATCCTTGTGTCCGGCATTCAATTAGGCTGTGTCTAGACTACATGCATCTGTCGTCAGAGGCATGTAGATTAGACACATAGGCAAAGGCAAATGAAGCCGCGATTTAAATGATCGCGGCTTCATTTACATTTACATGGCTGCCGCGCTGAGCCGACAAACAGCGGTTTACCGGGGCTGCCGACAAAGGGCTTTGATGTCGACAGGGGGAACATCCAGACTAGCGCGCTGAGCGGACAAACAGCTGATCAGCTGTTTGTCGGCTCAGCGTGGCAGCCATGTAAATTTAAATGAAGCCACGATCATTTAAATCGCGGCTTCATTTGCCTTTGCCAAAACAACAAATCTACATGGCTCCGTCGATGGAGCCATGTAGTTTAGACGTACCCTTACTGAGGCCCCAATCCTGTAAATGCTTATCCACACAAATAAGTTCGTACATGCAAATAGCCCTCCTGAATTCAACAGAGCACTTCACATATACAGATTTATTCGCATGCATAAGTGTCTACAGAATCAGGGGATTACTAATTAACAATACAAAACACAATTTGATCTCCAGATTTGTAATGAATCTCCAATATCTGCTGTCATTCCACTTTGAATAAACCGCAAATGGTGGGGTTTGCATTTTAATTTCTTTTTTGGGCAAAAGGTTAAGTTGATCTGAAAACCCCAAATGCTTGGAAATATACAGTGATATAATCAGATGAAATGAGTAAAAAGAAACATCACTGCATCCTACCCTGCTGATTCAGATTTTGTTTTTTAAATGGTAGATTTATGTAAAGGACTGAAATAAGCCAAATGGCTAAAGGGTGCATAGTAATAAAACGTTTATACCTTAACTAGCATACCAAGCCGCTGTCCCATTCCAGCTCATGCATATTCCCACTGTAAATGCCTCCTTTGCTCCCTATTGGCTGGCTAGGGTTGCCAGATGGTTTAAACAAAAATACTGGACACAATTGACATTACATCACAATCTACACTACATGTTATTTAGAAAATACCGGACATTTCTATTTTCTCAATGTGCTTCCCGAACAGAAAGCTCAAATACTGGACTGTTCGGTTCAAAACCGGACACCTGGCAAGCCTATAGCTGGCACACAATGTTACATTCAACCCAGGAAACGCAGCTCTCTGAAAGCTCAAACATTAGAATCTGAAATGGGGTGGTTCAAACTTTTTCTTTCTGAACCCCATCCCCCCATGGCCCACCTGTGCCATAACAACTGTTTTTCTGCATATAAAAACCAGGGCCGGTGTTAGGTGCTCGCAAGCCAGGCAACTGCCTGGTGGCCTCCACACCAAAGAAATTCCTGCAAAGCTAAATTGCTCAGGCTTCGCCCCATCTGGCAGGGCTTTGGCCTTCTGCCCTGGCCCCAGTGAGTCCAGTCCCTGCTGTGTGAACCCCCTGAAACCTTTGACCCTGCCTGAGAACTGCTGAGCTAAAAGAATCAGAATCAAGAGGCATGTCCCATTGAGATTTGTTAAAGCTAAACAAACAAAAGACCATTGAGAAATTGCCCTGGGACAATTACGTACCGTCTGATGTCATAAAGAGTGTGGCCCATTGAAGAAAGCACATCAAATCCCATCTCTCCCCCCAGAGCTTGTATGGCCTGCTCCATCTCTTTGTAAAAGGGTTCAATCTCGGCATCCAGAGTCACCTGGGTAATGTTCCACTTTTCAACATGGTCTCGAAGAACCGACTCATACTCTCCTTGAATGACCAGTAAGCATGAGCCCAGTTTGGTTAAGCTCCTGTGCAGATCCTCGAGGGACTGCAGCAGGAAATGCCAGCGCAGAGTCCCTATGTGCATTGCCGACATCAGGAACTTTCTATCCAGAATGTAAACTGGATACACAACCTCCGAGGACTCCAGCGCGGCCAAAAGAGTTGGGTTGTCATGGAGCCGAAGTCCCTTCCGGAAGAGATGAATGGTCCGATGAAGCATGTTGGACATTTACTTGAGATCTGTAAAAGAGGGAATTCCTGAAGCAAAGGGATTTCTGAACCCCACTAAAGAGGGAAGACCATTAACAGCCAAAATGGAACTTTGAACAGCTGTCAACATGCAATAGAACTGATGGATACACACGGTATATCAGCACTGCCAATAGCCATCCACATTAGAGTGGGCAGGCTCAGAAGATGACATCTCGCAATACTGGCACAGCTGAAAAAGTAAAGTTCTTGGGGAAGTGTTACAACAAAAATAATACCAAACATCTGGATCGGAACATCATCATAATAATACCAAACAGCTGGTCACATCTGTTCTTCCAGATGAAATGCCCCCTCCACACATATTCCCTCCTCCTATTTCCCGCTATACACCTCCCTCCACTCAAAACACACCAGTCTCCTTCGAAGATCATATCTCCCTTCACCACAGATCTGCAAAGACTCAAAATCAGACTAAACTCTTTCTCATAGGGCATAGTGACTTCTGCCACAGCAATAACTTAACAAGAGTTGGTCCAAAACATTTTTGATACGACAGTTTCCTTTTAAAAAATGGAATTTTATTGGAATGGAAACATTTCATGGGCACACATAAATTTGGATGAAAATATTCTATGGAAAAAAGTAAAAATGGTTCCTTTAGATTAATTTCCTTTACACTTTTAATATAATATAAAACATTAAACATAATTATATACTGGGGGCTATCCCCGGCTCACTACTTGCCAGTCCCCCTCTCTCTGCGTCATTCTGTCACATGGCAGGAAAAACTTTTTTATATACAGAGATAATTACTGATAGAATCATAGAATCATAGAGCTGGAAGAGACCTCAGAAGGTCATCAAGTCCAGCCCCCTGCCCTAGGCAGGACCAGTCCCAACTAAATCAACCCAGCCAGGGCTTTGTCAAGCCGAGACTTAAACACCTCTAGGGATGGAGACTCCACTACTTCCCTAGGTAACCCATCCCAGTGCTTTACCACCCTCCTAGGGAAATAGTTTTTCCTAATATCCAATCTGGACCTCTCCCACCACAACTTGGGACCATTGCTCCTTGTTCTGCATCTGTCACTACTGAGAACAGCCTCTCTCCATCCTCTTTGGAACCTCCTTTCAGGAAGTTGAAGGCTGCTCTCAAATCCCCCCTCACTCTTCGCTTCTGCAGACTAAATAAGCCCAAATCCCTCAGCCTCTCCTCATAGGTCATATGCTCCAGCCCCCTAATCATTTTGGTTGCCCTCCGCTGGACCCTCTCCAATGCGTCCACATCCTTTTTGTAGTGGGGGGCCCAGAACTGGACATAATACTCCAGATGTGGCCTCACCAGAGCCGAATAAAGGGGAATAATCACTTCTCTGGATCTGCTGGCAATGCTCCTTTTAATGCAACCTAATATGCCATTAGCCTTCTTGGCTACAAGGGCGCCCTGTTGACTCATATCCAGCTTCTCATCCACTGTAACCCCCAGATCCTTTTCGGCAGAACTACTACTTAGCTGGTTGGTCCCCAGCCTGTAACAATGAATGTTATTATATTTAGCGTTTTAATAGAAAAGTCTAAACAAAAGTAATGAAAATGAAATGGCTTGATACTGTAGGAAGAAATGTTTGACACTATCAAAACATAATTCACCAGAATTGTTGTTTTGTGGAAAATTTCATCTTTTTCATCTGAAACTTTTTTTTACAAAATACCAGAACTTCTAGAAGAATGGGATTTCCAGTTCCCCACAAGTCTAGTAGTAACCTCGAGACATATGGCACAAACAATCGCATTCAAAAGTTAACAACACTCATGTCATGACTATAAATTCTAAGACGACAATATACTGCACATAGGGAAGAAGAAATTAAGAACCAAACCAGCCAGATTGCTGCAGATCTCTACAAAGAAGCTGTACTCACAGTGTATCCCACTACAATGTGATATTCCAAACATAGCAGATGCTTTCCAAAGAGAAAATCTGGGGACAATCTCAGCTCCTATAAATTGCCATAGCTCAGCTGAAGACAACAGAGACATATGGGGCGGGCAGGGGAGTCAGAATCCCCCCTTAGTAGACCTAGCACTCTGCTTCTCGGAACCCCAAGCCCATATCTTGTCACACGGTCTCCTCCATCTCTTTTGGAGATGGAAGGAGAGATGTCGGCTTGGCAGAGACATACCAGGGCAAGCCCATGCAAACACCGGTGTCTCTTGGAACACAATGCATGTGTAAAGTGGGCTGCCATTGTTACGGAAATTGGGAACCACTGTAGCTTGGTGGGTAACCTGTCCTCCCCTTAAGAAAATGCTGGCTTGCAGCTCTGATGCTAGGTATGTCATTTTACATCAGTTAAGGATCTGCCCCTGTGATGGCGCGTCGGGATTCCCCCGTCTCCTGCACCCCAAAATCGCACGAACAGACTCCGCCAGCCAGTAGAAGTGAGGGTGGTTTATTGCTTCTCCAGGATACAGCACAGCACAGATGTCATCAGGTTACAGGAACTGGGGCTAAGAGGCCTCAGTGCCCCCCTTGAGATGGGGGGATCCCAGCCCCCTCCCCAGCTCCTTCTCCCCTGCTTTCCAGACAGGAACTAACTCATTCTCCTCCAGCCCTGCCCCCCAGCCAGGGCAGCAACCACCTTCCTTTGTTCCTCTCCATGGGGGTTAGTGGTCAGACAGGTTGAGAGATCCCTTTGCATAATGACTCATCCTGTTTTGCTGGGCCGTGGTACCCACTGCAGCCAGTGGGGGTTACCCCAGAGCCAGCAGCATAGAAACCAGCCAGGTACCCCCACTACGTCACAGTCCCTCACTGAACACCAACCAGTTCTAGAGAATCTAGAAGTAACAAGGTGCAAAGGAAGCTGAAGGAGGAAGAGATGTGTAAACAGAGGAACCCTGCCTCATTCAGTGTACACACAGTGGGCACCCCAGAAAGAGAGGGCTGTGTGGAACATTCACAGCACTGAAGGCCTCCCTGGCTGTATACTTGTAGGTAAATTGAGGCAGTCCATGGTATCTTGCTGAGAACTGACAAACTCAAATCCGAAAGTATCAGGCCAAGCTTGGGAAGCATACGGTTCAACAGTTACTGTGACCCTGGTTCCCCTGGCAACTACATTCCAACAGGGTCTCTCTCACTTTGATGAGGCCTGGCTGGTACCAGCCAGGCTGCACGGGTTCTCACTGTCTCTTGTGCTTTCAGATTAATGAGCCTGAGTCCCAAGGACTGTGCCAGAACAAGATGGAGTCATCCCGCTGTAGACATCACAGACCAGTTGTTTGGCTGTGCGCAATGCACCCATAACAAAACTGTCCCGTGTGTGTGGTTGTGAGACAGGGGCATGCAGTGACTCCCAGAGCAGATTAGCTGAGGCAGAGTCTGGAAGAAGTATCCATCAGAGGTGAAAGTAAAACAGGATGATATTATTGTTACTTGCTGGAGGGGAGGGATATTCCACTGGTGATTCTTGCAAGGGCAGGTGCATCAAAGAAACAAAACTACCTTCCAAAAAACAAACAACCCCCTCCCACTAATATCTTACTGAGAAAAAGAAAAGGAACCTCCCAGGTCATCCAATTTTCTGTGGCGGCACCATAGTACTATGGTGATGGTTATAGGAAGAAACTGAGTTGTAACAATAACTAGTTTTTATCTAGTGCTTTTCATTTATAGATCTATAATAACTTGACTTGATTAACCCCATTCCCCAAAGGGGGAAACTGAGGTACAGAAGGGAAAGTGACTGATACAAGGTCACTCGACAGGTGAGTTGCAGAGCCAGCAATAGACCCCAGGTCTCCTGAGTCCAGGTTCAGAGCTCTGTCCGCTAGGGCAGACTCTGGAGGACGTCACCCTGGGAGTGGACCTGTCACTGCCGAAGGAGGAGGGAGGCACGGGGAGAGCAGAGGCAGACTGTTTCACTGTTGGGATGGCGTTAGTACAGGGGTTCTCAAACTTCGCTGTGCTGTAACCCCCTTCTGACCACAAAAACTACTGCACGGCCACAAGAGGGGGGTGAAAGCCTGAGCTCCACTGACCCCAATAGCCAACGGGGAATGGGGCAAAGTCCAAGGGCTTCAGCTCCAGGCAGGGGGCCTAGACACAGAACCCTGCTTCCTGGGGCTGAAGCCTCGGACTTTGTCCCCAAGCAGTCTAACGCCAGCCTTGGCAAATCTATTACCATGAGGTTGTGACCCACCTTGGGGGTCCTGACCCAGTCTGAGAGTCCCTAGGTTAGTAGGCTCCTGAGCCGTGTATCATGGCTGAGGGAGAGGAGGCTTGGAGGACCCCACTGTGATGACCACTTAAGGCAGGCAAAGGGAGCAGAAAAGGGACAGGAAATGCTGGGTGTGTGTGTGGGGGGGGACACAGGTGAGATAGAAATAGAGGGGCGTGGAGCAGCTGGATTGTGCCCAGCAGCACTAGGCTTGCATTGGGAGCCCTCTCACTGCTGGAGGCAGGGCTGGAGGAATATCCCACTGCCTCCCCCCGCCCCCCCCCCCCCCGCGCGGCGCG